ACTATTCACATACAAGGAAGACAAAGGAAACAAACAAATACCTTATACATCTAAATAAAAATTAATAGGTTATACCTACCTGATCTCTCATATCCATCAATAATGCCATCTCATGCCACCTATACACCACAAGAACAAATTTCAGGCCTTTTTGAAGAAACAAGAGCAGTGGCATCCCTAGCGTTGGTCACCCAGTGCAGTAACTCATGCTGTCACCTCCCTGCCACCATTGGCCTTTTCCCATTACACACCATACAGAATGCTTAGTAATGCCTTTTTGCACTAATGTTATTCATAAATCATAATTCCCATATAACACTGAATGTAGCTAATAGTTGTGATATAAAACAATTAGCAAAATTAAAATTACACCTTCAAATTACAATATGCACAGGCTAAATGTAATTACATATACATAGTAAAGATTTGGTTAAAATGTGATGTTTTTAAAGACAATTTTAAAAGAAATACTTTTTTTAAGTTTTTATTTTTTTTAAAAAAATAAATTTAAAATTTTGAAATGTGAAAATTTAATTTAAAAAAATTCTAGGACCTCTCCTTTCTCCTTCCACTGAACTTCACTCTACTCCCACCATATCCTAAAGCATTTTAAAGAGATACAGGTGAATGCCATAGCCTGTTTCTGCCAAAAGGTAGGTATTTGAGGTGAAGTGGTGTCACCCCCCTTAGGGTGTCATCTGGTGCAGTCCGCACACCTCGTGCCCCCATTGACGCCACTGAACAAGAGACAGACAGAGACAAGAAACAGGGTAGAGAGCTCTTTAAAATCTTCATTTCCACTGATTTTTTTCTGTTCTTTAAATATCTCCAAGTCTGTAGTCTCTAAGATATCCTACACTCTCTTCCTTTGGTCCCTCCATTTTCCCCTCTCTCTCGGGTTCTTCTTATTTTACTTGACTATTTTTTATTTGACCACTATTTTGCCTTTTTCTTCTTCTTTGTCTCTTTCCCACTCCTCCTTGTAGCTCTGGTCTCATGTGATTCTCCATGCAGCTCCTGTATCTTTCCCTTTCCTCTCATCTTGCCTGTTGCATGTCCATTCTTCCTCACACCATCCAATTTTCTGCACAAACCAGGCTTCCTTTCCCTTGTTCTCCTCTGCACCGCTAGGCAGTGTACCACAGCTCCCACATTGTACACCTCTGTTAAAAACAACAACAAAAAAACCTTCCTGTTCTTGGCCCATTGTGCTTGCCTCTCATTGCTACTACAGCTGCAACTTGCCATGGAGCAGAAAACTCTGGTGAGATTGGCAAAGGACGCAGCAAAATGTGGTGGTGAGGAACAGCATACCAAAAGAAAATCCTATTATCTATATCATTCTCTGGTGATACCTTCACAGAAAATGGGGCATACATTCTCCCTGCCCCCAATATAATTTGAAAAAATTGATATTGGCACATTTGTTCCAGTCTCTAATAAGCTTATTGCACTAGTACCTGTAACATTCCCCTCAAGTCCCTAGAATGTAACGATATGGAAATGGGTGTTACCGCATTAGACTATTGATAACGGGATAGTAACATTATGAGAACACATATTATCGCACTGTATTTACTGTTGTACTGGTACTGGTGTTAAAGTAGTTCCTCAGCCGCCCCTCATTGGTACATACTCACTGTTGCGAAAACCTCTATGTCTGCATTGCAAAGGATGCTATCGAGAGATTTAGGTAGCAAGCATTCATTGTTTTTTCTTGTAAACACGATGCAATTCAATCTACAAAAATATATTTTTTTAAATTGCCTGTGGCACCTTCCTTACATCGACACCGGAAGAGTTGAGTTGAGTTGAGTTGAGTTTGTGGACGTTCTAGCACAGGAGGGGAGGAGGTTGTCTTAGCCAATCAGAACACAAGGATCGATTGAGACCGAGTAGGATTATTGCACACACATGATCTGGAACGGTCTGAAAGCATTCTTGCTGGCTGAGAACACATTTTTACAATTCTCCTGCTGGAACGGGCTAGGGACTGTCAGAGCACAGAAAGGGAACTTGATGAGGATCATACTGTGTGATAAAATACATTCCCTTCCATTCTCATCACGTACTCATTACGTTCCGAGAACACAGTGCGATAAGCTTATAAATTCTATACTGTTGTCAAGTGATGTTGACAAGTGTGGTATATATCTGCTTTTTTACATACTCAGCAACAGTTTGACACCCCCTGTGAGCCACTGGAATTTGGAGCATGTAGAAATTAGAACAGGTATTATCATTACAATCCCACTGTTGTGAAAAGAGTAGCATTTTATTGAGAAAAATTACTGGTTCATAACAGAGCTGAACAAAATCCCCAATCTCCAGATCCTCCAGCCCACTGCAAAATGGTGAGCTAACTGGTGATGTGGAATTTTCTTCAGGGTATTTTCTGACAATCCAAAAAAGAAAATTCAGGGGGGAAGTTCTTGAGGAAATAATGGCTAAATTAGCACTGAATGTGATTATGTTTTCCTGTTTATGTTAAGAAGTGAAGGAAGTATGGGTTAAGAGAGGAAGGCCAAAAGAAGAATATAAACTGATTCTTTCCTTTAATATTATTCAACACCAAGTTCCCCAGTCAAATCACAGATGTCAAAGGGGGAGCATTTTTCAAAATATTCCCCCAGAAGCCCTAAATTCTCCATCTGTTTGGGGGAAATGGTCTCCCATTGAAAATAGCCTTGGAGGGGAGGAAGAGGCTTTCCTTGGAGCTGCAGTAATGTAAACTTGAATCTGCAGTATTGTAAACTTGATCTTGAGTCTGATAGGGCTGTCGGCTGTCTTGCCTTAAGACCACAGTAATGTACACACCTAACTGGATCTAATCAAAGTTGCTTCAAGCAAAGGACAAAGCAGCATATGGCCCTTCAGATGTTGTTGGACTGCAAGGCTCATCAACTCTAACCTGGGGTTGATAGAGTTGCAGTCTGGCAACATCTGGGGATCCACAAGATGCCCAGCATTGTTTAAAGTGAGCCAGCATATGAATGTTTGGAAAGGTTGCAATTTTATGTGCACATGCTTAGGAGTTAGCTTTTTTAAGTTGAGTGGGATTTCTTACGTTAACATCTGCATCAGGGATGTGCAAGTTGTGGCCTGCTAATGTCCCATGGTCCCCTTATTATTGGCTGTTATGCTAGCAACGGCTGATGGAAGCTGTAGTCAAACAACATCTGCAAGTCTGCAGGTTGCCAACCTCTGGTACTGTGATATGAATATTTCATCCTTAATATATAGTGTGTTTCCAATTTACTATTTTAGCTGATTTGTACAGTACTAGTATTTTATGAACATGCATGTATTTGAGGTTCCTTGCTTTCCTGGGGTATCATTAACACAGATTTTATTCTGTCCTTCTTTTATCCACTTTCCTAGTGCTGTTGCTGATGCTGATGGCATTGAACCTCTAATTAACATCCTGAGCACAAAGAGAGATGGGGCTGTTGCAAGCGCTGCTACAGTTCTCACAAATCTGGCCATACAAGAGCCATTGCGTCTCAACATCCAGAGTCATGGTATAATGTCTGCACTTGTTGAACCATTAAATTCCACCAACAGCATTGTGCAGAGCAGAGCAGCTCTTGCTGTCGCTGCTGTCTGTTGTGATGCTGAGGCCAGAGCTGAGGTGAGCCATATGCATGTTTTTTACATTTTGTGGCTTTCTTAGAACTATGCTTTATATTGTGTTTAGGAGTAAGCATTTCAAAAGATGGAGATCCAAGGTTATTTCAGATTTGTTTCTCAACCAGGCTTCAGAAAGGTCTGAGAGTTCTAAGTAGCAAGTAGATTTTTTTAATGCATTGTGAATCAGTAAAAAAAAAAAAAAAGATATATAAAGATGTAGATATATATATACAATACACAAAGGTCCAGGTGTATTGTTTACTTACAGTGTATGTACTGGGAAATTTTATCCTACCATGCTACGCAAGGTTTTGAAAATACTGAATGCGGTCATTCAGTAGAGAGAAACAAACTAGAGAGAAGCAACAGCTACAAAACAGAATATAGAATTTATTTACACAAATACTTATATCCCACTCTGTATCTGAAAAATCCATTTAAAATAATAAATTTCAATAGCTTTAAAATACAAAACTATATTAAGTTATTTATCACTGAAAATTGGGCTACTGAAAGCCAACTAAAACAATTTAAAATAAAGCCAACAATGTGTGCAAAATGGATAGAATCAGTTAGGTTTATTGATATCAGACAACCTTTATAGGGTTCTTTGTGACATTTCATATTTGCCTTGGTATGCAGGAGGATCAAAGTTCAGTCTCTGGCTTTTTCATTTAAAACAGAGGTGAGCAAAGTCCAGCCTTCCAGATACTGAACTCCAGCTCCCGTCATCCCTAGCTAATATTGCCAGTGATTGGAAATGCTAGGAATTGCAGCCCAATAACTTCTGGAGATGCACACTTTGGCAGCCTCTGATTTGAAAGGATCTCAGAGAGCAATGCTAGGAAAGACCTTTCTCTAAAGGGTGTTGCAGACTGCCAGAAATAGTGCAAACTGAGTCCACTTTTAGGGTCAGGGTTAGTGCTAGGGAATCATGAGAATTGTTGTTGTTTTTTCTGAGACATTGAGCCTTCTCTGTCAGAGAGCTCTGGTGCCACAATAAAATACAGTTCCCATGATTCCCTAACCCTAACCCTTAAAGTGGACTCAATTTGCACTATTTTTAGCAGTCTGCAACCCCCCTGAGACACTGGTTCTCTCAAACAGAGAAGAGAGAACTAGGCCAAAATTTGTATTTTCATGCTGATGCACCTATACACAAGCCAGTTTGCTTATGAATAAGAACTGCAGTCTGGCATCTGGAAAAATTGTCTATGCATGAACTCTGTCCAAGGGCAGGCTGGAATCTTTTGTCACTGGAGAAGATATTGTTGCAGGGCAGGGCTTTCTGAATATGCTCGGCCTTTTTACAACTGTTTCTGCTAGTGATTTGTTTGCTTCTCTCACTGTTTGAGTAGGGAGCAAAGAAAGCCAGCGTGATGTAGTGGTTTGAGTGTTGGACTGTGACTCTGGAGACCAGGGTTCAAATCTTTGCTTGGCCATGGAAACACACTGGGTGACCTTGGGCAAGTCACACTCTCTCAGCCTCAGGAAGGCAAGGACAAATCCCCTCTGAACAAATCTTGTCCAATATAAAAACCATGATAGGTTTGCCTTATGGTTGCCTTAAGTCAGAAACAACTTGAAGACACACAGCAACAAAGGGAAGCAAAGCACATGGAGATTACTGCCTCTCTTCAGAACTCTTCTCATTCTTCAGTCCAAAAGGAACCTGAATAGGCAGCAGTATCATGTACAAGATGCTCTGGGGCTTAACAGTGGACCCCCTGCCAGGAAATGGACCTTAGTACATATGGATGATGCCAACTACTGGTACCAGCTCTGTATGGGTCCATGCAAATAAGTATCCCAGCCTGACATTCTGCTACTATACAAGTAATTCCTGTGTCACTTTTTGCATCATTTCCCTTTCTTTCATCAGCAAAGAATTTTTTAAATCTCAAATGCAGATAGAACTCGGACTTCAGCCTTGATCGTATAGGAGGCATGTAGTTAACAATACAGCCTTTGTGTCTGTCTGTCTCGTGTGTCTGTCTGTCTCTTTTTCTCATTAAATATTATCTTTTTAGTTAAGGAACTCTGGTGGTCTTGATCCTCTTGTTAAACTCCTACATTCTAAGCACGATGAAGTCCGAAGAAATGCCTGTTGGGCTGTTATGGTATGTGCCAGTGATGAACTAACAGCAGCTGAAATGACCAGGCTCGGGTAAGCTAGCCAAGCCTCTGATAGCTTTCCTCTTATGCATGGATGAAACTGTTTTGCCTGCACTGCAATCTGTACTCAGAGAATTAACATTTAGTATATGGAGAGATTTTTGTTTCTTAAGATTTATTTAAATAGTGTTTAAGATAAATTATTTCACAGAGGAAATTGCACTGTTCTAGTTACTGCAGCACACTCTTGCACCACTGTAGCTATTATGCAGTAATATTAATATAATGCCAAAAGAAGACTGAAGGGCTACTTAATTTAAGCCAAATCTTTTACAAAAAAGTTTGAACCTTTTTGTAAAAAAAATATCATGGAAGATGAAAGGTTTTTTTTTAATGACTTAGAAAGATTTTCTTTTTAATGTTTTGTTTTGGTTCTTTGTTTGGAACAGTGCCTTAGACATCCTTGAAGAAATTAACCTGTCCATAGGGCGTAAAAATAACTTCAGTGAAGCAGCTTTGGACAAGATACTTGATCACAATCTTCCCCAGAAATATAGTCAAACGGGATATTTATCATGCAACAACATCATTTCAGATGGATTCTATGATTATGGACAGGTAATCTTGCTATCTCTCAGAAATCTTCAGAGGTCTGCTTGCCTATCTTCCTGCTCTGAGAAGACAGAACTTCTCATTAATGAAGCATGGTCTTGTGCCTTATAAGAACTGCACTTCCCTTGATAAGATTTAATGATAAGCCATGGTTTAATACTGTAAGAGTCTAGAACTCTGTGCATGACCTCTCTTCTCTTTTCCTCCCCTGTTTTGGTCTACAAGAAAAAAAAAGATACTTTTATTTCTGTTTTGGTTTTAAAAGTAACCTCAGTTTAGTGTTTAGCTTGACAAACTGTGATTATTTTGAACTGTGATTTACTGTAACAAGTCAACTTAAAACCTTAGTTTGTGAAGCTGGCTTGTTTCAGTGACCTTTTGTTTATTTTGTTCTGCCTTTCTAGAAATAATGCTAAAGGCAGTTAGTACCACTAAAACAAATATTAAACAGCAAAATGATTTGTCATCACTAAAAACAAATTAACCAATCAAATATTTAAAATCCATAGACACCAAAACATTTTCAAAGGTCAGTTCAAAGAGATGTGGCTTCACCCCCTTATAAGGCACAAAAGCATGAACTGACTACAGCTCTGGGAAGAGTGCATTCTATTGTCTACAGTTAAGATTAATCTCAGTTTAATCTAAAGCTAAACTAGTTAATTTAAAATAGAAGCAGATTGTACATAATCAGAAACACACAAAGTAAATGAAAAGAGGATTGTACACAAGTTTAGCTCTCTTTCTTGCAATGGTACACAATGATTATGTAACTTTTCGCTGCCACTCCTTTAAGATTAACGTGTCATTTTACAACTTTGGTTTTCAAACTGCTCTTCTTCTGGGGAGCCTCTGAAACTTGTGTATCTGTGTGTGTGCATGTGCGCAAAGGACAAAATAAACAGTTTTTGGAAGAGAGATTGAGAATTAAGAGCTAATAATTAGAAACACCATTAGGATACCTCTTTGGAGACTGGTTACAGAATGACAGACTTTCTATTTGGTGGAAGGGCATGCTGTTTGCCCCTATTTGTACTCTCATTTTACATTGGTAAATAAACCAAATATTATAAAGTCCCTGACAGTCTCCAGAGCTCTTTCCCCAAAGCAAGCCAACTGTCAGTAATATTGCTTCTGGATCTCCTCATCGCTTGGGGAAGTGGGGAACACACAACACTCTTAACTACAGTTGATGTCTTTCCCATAGGCTCAAATTGCTTATAAAGTTCAGGCAATGTAATCCATGCTGTCAGTAAAGAGATATTACTCATTAGCAATTTTCAAACTACCAATGTGTCTTAGAGTACATTAAAAACAATAATGTGCTTGTGGCAGGGAAATATTTGATTTGGTTTAGTTTTTCTGTTTTATGCAATTTTTATTGTAGTCTAGCATACAGGTATATGCTGTTGATATTTCCTGTATTTTTAAAGGCAAAAACCCCACTTAAAATAATGCTCTTTTAGTTTTTCCTGTTTTTTGAAGAGCCCTGATGGTGCAGTGGTTAAATACCTGTCCTGCAGCCACTCACTTACAAACCATAAGGTTATGAGTTCAATACCAGCTAGGGGCTGAGGGTCAACTCAGCCTTGCATCTTTCTGAGGTTGCTAAAATGAGTACCCAGCTGGTTGGGAGCAATTAGCTTACCCTTTGTAAACTGCTTAGGGAGTGCTTAATTTGCACTGATAAGCAGTATAGAAATGTATTTGCTATTGCTATTGCTATTTTCCAGTTTTTCATTTCTTTATTTCTACTAAATAGAAACATACCAACTTGTATATCTTTTCCCCCAAACAGAATAGTGGATTTATCACTATGAATCTATAAAAAATGTTTGTTGTTGTTCTTAATTGCCCTTGAGTCGATCTCAACCCATGGCGACCCTATGGATGAGACAATTCCAAGACCCCCCTATCCTCCACTGCTCTACTTAATTCCTGCAAGCCTTATAGCCATGTCCTCTTTAATAGAGTCCATCCATCTAGCATGCAGGCTTTCTCTCTTTCTGCTTCCCTCCACTTTTCCTAGCATTATTATTTTTTCCGAAGAGTCCTCTCTTCTCATGATGTGCCCAAAGTACGACAGCCTCAGTTTGATCATCTTGGCTTCCAGGGAGTTTCCCAGCTTGATCTGCTCTAGGACCCATTTGTTTGTCCTTTTTGCTGTCCATGGAATCCTCAGCACTTCTCCAGCACCACGTTATCTCAAATGCATTGTTTTTTTTCCTATCTTGTTTCTTAACTATCCAGCTTTCACGTCCATACATGGTAATAGGGAATATGATGGCTTGTATGATTCTAACTTTCATGCTCAGTTGTATATCTTTGCATTTTAGAACCTTTTCTAGTTCTTTCATGGTTGCACTCCCCATTCTTAATCTTCTGATTTCCTGGCTGCAGTCCCTATTCCTATTAATGTTTGATCCCAGGAATGAGAATTCTTTTACTAACTCTATTTCCTCATTGTCTAGGTTAAATTGGTGTAGATTCTCCATGGTCATTATTTTTGTTTTCTTTATGTTCAACAGTAGGTCTGCCTTTGCACTTTCTTCATTAGTAGGTGTTCCAGTTCTCTGAGGTTTTCTGCTAGTGTCAACTGCATATCTTAGGTTGTTGATATTCCTTCCTTCCTTCTATACTCACTCCTCCTTCTTCTGTTTCTAGGCCTTATAATGTGTTTTGCATAGAAGTTGAACAGGTAGGTTAACAGGACGCAGCCTTGTCTGACCCCTTTGCCAATTGGGAACCATTCTGTTTCTCTGTGTTCTGTTCTGACAGTAGCCTATTATCCTGCGTACAGATTCCTCATCAAGACTATCAGATGTGTTGCCATACATAAAAAATGTGTGTTGTAATTTTTTCTAATGCAATTTGAAGTCATTTGAAGGGAGTGCTTGTTTTAGAGTGATGTGCCAAAAAAGCAGAATCTTTCAAAACAGTAACAAAATTTAGTGTGTGTGTACTGTACAGAATAAACCCTTCCTTTCTTATCCATAATTTGATGCTGATTGCTTACATAGAGGAAGTGTTCACATGTAACATTAAACCATGATTGAGTGCTATGTGAGTAACTAGAAAGGAGCCCATGTGAAACCTCTCCTCCAAGAAGAGAATGGACCAGAATTCATCTTCACTTTAGTGCCACAGTGGAATTATGACTCTCCAAATGTTGCTGAACTGCAGCTTCTATTATTCTTTACCATTGACTATCCTGTTAGAGCTGGTGGAAGTTGTGGTTTCACAACCTCTGGCAAGCCACACAATTCTTATCTCTCCTTTAGCAGATTCCTGACCTGTTATTTGTAAATGAGCAATTGTAATTTAAAAGAAACTTTGGTTAATTGCTAAACCAAGCCAACAAAAAAAAACCCTTAGATTTTTCTTTAAGTTTATTTAACAAGCTATTATTTATTTTAAACCAGCATTCCTGGTTCATATGCATCAACAAGCCAGAAATCTGCTAAAGTGAAAGTAAATTCTGGGTTATTGCTTCATTTCACTGCATATGTAGGGAGCAATTCATGTGGACTCATTCCTCCTCGTGTATCTAGCACTAATTTATGGTTTAGCATTATGTGTGAACACTACCAGTGACAGTCCATGAGCTTTCCTGAAATGATAGGTGACTATCATGTTCTTCGTTCTCTCTAGGTAAAACGTGGTGTGAAACTGTTGTCATTGGAGGAACTCAGTAGTCAGGAGCTAAATGATCAC